GAGCCGACATTGAATGAACCAACGGCGGCGGAAGTAGACACCGAGGAGCAGCAGGAGGAAGAGTACTTGCGCGATGAGGAAGAGAGCAATGTGCAATCCACGGCGAAGTTCGACTATGAGGAACGTTACGACCTGCACGCGGAAACTACACCATTGACTACAACAACCACAAGTACTACGTCTTCGCCAGCATCCACACGAAGTACAGTGCGTCGCGCAACAACAACGCCTAGCATTTTGACAACTTCCGCCGCGAGCGCAACCCCAACGACGGCAAGCGCAAAACCCGCACTACGTGCGCAGTTGAATTTCAAAGCGAACTCCATCGACTCGGACGATACGCACGCGCACACATTGCCAACTAGTCCTGACAGCGATGGGCTCGAAAATTTCTTGGGCGGCGAGACCACCAGCGGTAAGAGACGTGGAAAACCAACCACCACCGTCGAGAGCATTACGCCGCGCATCGATCACGTTAAGCCAGCCGTCGCTGGCGACACGTTCTCCTACCAGGATACCGTGCCTGACTTCGACGGTGTAGATGACCGCACCGATCTACTGGAGCTAATCGAAGATCGACGTTCCGGCAATCGACTTTTCAAGGTGCTCGAACAGCGCAACATGACGCTCGAGGAACTGATTGAGCACCGCAAACGCGGCTCTAGCCAACTGCATCTGGCGACTGTAGTGCAGAACCGCTCGCGATTTTTTCCCGGCCAGAAGGTCGTTCTTCACGACAATATGGACATTGTTACAGCATTTGAGAATTTTCCCCATTTCAATCTGATCGACCTGAAGAGCGTTAAGCCCGACGACATCAAGACAGACTCACAAGGCGCCAGCTACTTCACCTCCATCATCGACATAGAACCGACCGATGAGATCTACAAGGACAACTCAGGCGCCAAAGGTGCGGTAGAACGCAATCGGTTAGACCGCCGCCGGCGCCAATATCGCGGTGGTACGCGCTATCAAAGTAGTAGCGCGGGGGATAGACGACACAAGCGCCAATAAATCAGCAGCACGCCGAACACGATTTGTGGTGAACTGCTGAGTTGAAGTTGTAGCGAGCGAGAAGTAGCAAGTAGACGCAGAGCGACGAATAATAGTGCGGCAGCAATGAACGCGCCTATGCGCGCACTCAACTTGCGGCGGCCACAGCCCGGCTCAGCAGCTTGCCACAAATCATGTAAGTGCGCGCGCACGCCAGACGCTTCTATACCGTTACAACATTTTGCTTTTACTTTTTTCTTCTCACAGGTTCCGCCTACCAACAGACGCAACGCACAGATAAATCGGTTGGTTTCTTCCCCTCCTGGAAAACGCTTGCGCTGGCTTCGCTCGCCAGCACCACGCGCAACGACGCATCTATTAAACGCAATCCTTTCTTTGTGCGCCCACCCCAAATGCTACTCGAGAGTACCTCTGCCGAGCTCGACGACAACAATTTTCTGCTAGACAACGAAACGAATACAGATACGAACGCTGAGCCGCCACAGCAACAAGAGTTGATCGCCGCGCAACAAAAAACTTTCAACAGCGCCAGCAGCACCATCGACACCGTCGAAGCCATCGAAAACGAAGTGGCGCGTGCGCATGATTTGCTCGATCTCGAACTCTCTGGCCATGGATTCAAGCGCAGCCCCGCCGCAGCTGCCGTCTCCACTGCCGGCGCCACCGCCGCCGGTGGTCATAGCAGCATCTACGCCAACATGCCGGCGGGCATACGCTCCGCCATTGTGGCCAGCGCCGCCATAGTGCTCACATCATTGGCCACTTTTTTGGTGGTATTTGTGGTGTGCCGCTGGAAGCAACGGCGTCAGAGGAAGACCAGCTACACTAAGACTTACAACGCGATGAAGAGCAAGCTGCCGACTGTGGCGAATGCGTCGCGCCGCTCCTCGCTGCGCAACATGGAAGAGTTAGTGGGAGGCATCTCTACAGTGTCGGTGTCACCGGTGCACCAGCTGCAGCGACAGAGTTCATTACTCTTTCCGCGACACTGCAGCGCAGGTGGCAGCAACGGCGGCGGCGTCTTGGAAGTGGAGGAATTGAGTTGCGGTCGAGGTGACGCAGGCAGGCGTAGCAAAATGATGCGCGGAGCGACGCGCGGCAGTCTGGGCAACAGTGGCGATATTGGTAGCGCTACCGGCTCCACCACATCGCTGGCGCTGTCGCTGCAGAGCGTGCACAACAGCTCCACGAATAAGCTGAACACAATGGATCCAAATTCACCGGAAGTGCAAGAGTATTTGTTCGATGCGTTGCGAAAATCATACTAAAGGGCGGTAGCAGGGTTGTATCTGTTGAGTTGAAGTGAGATTTATTGTAGCATAAGTTTTGGGTAAGTTTTAGAGATTTTAAAAACGTTTGAGAAATTAAAAAAAATAAGAGAAACAAAAAATGTTGCCAAACATAAAAAAAAAACAAAATGGAAAATTGAATATAACTGTAATAAAAAAGGAATATGTGTAAAATACGAGAATTCCATAAAATTAGATATCGAAGTATTAACCCTTAGAAGAAACCACAAAAAAATATAAAATTAAAAGTAGGCAGAAAACAATATTTCGTAAATTTACACATTTAAGAGTAGAGCAATTTTTACTAAATTTAGAGCGTAAGAGTTCGAAATTTAAGTATTACAACAAAAAGCGGGTTTTTGGACAACACAAAGGAAGCGAAAAATAATTTTTAAAAATTTTTGGAAACAAAATAAAAATTTGAATGAAAATACAAAAAAAAGTTACAAGAAATATATATGTGTAAAGAAAAAAGTAAAAAAAAAAATTTTAAAAGCATAGCTACATGCAAAATTACACAAAAATTTAGAGAGAATATCTTACAAAAAAAAAATAAGTATAATAAATTTTACCGATACCAAACCTTAAGAATAAAACAAGTAATGTTTTTAATGACAATAATCTATAAAGGAAGTAAAAGCGAATTGTCGGCAAAAACGAAATGGAATTATTGAATGCACTGACAAACCCATAATTAGAGTTTGCGGACTTAAGAAAGTTAAAAAGAAAACCGAGAGACGTTTTATATACACTGAAAAAAAAATAATATTGCGAAACTTTGAACGAGAAATGTATTATAAGGATTTAACATTGTTTAAAAATCAAATTTTCTATTAAATATTCGGTTTGCGGCAAAGATTTTATTTAATTAGAAAAATATAAAATAATTTTTTGCAGAAAATATGTATTTCAAGATTAAGGGTTAAAACATTTTTAAACATAAAATCATAAAATTTTATTTTCAATTAAAAATTTTTGGAAGCAAAATTATATATATATAATTTAAACTAAATTTGCCGAAAAATTATCTATAATTTTTGGTACTATATTTTTTATTGCTTTTGTATTAAATTCATTATCAAGGCATTTGGTAGTAAAATTAGAACGAAAACCACATTTACCTATATTTTGTTGTTCCTTCTGATATCTAATGGGGTTTTCGTTTCTACAAAAAATGTTGCCCTTTCTTTGTCCTCTTCTTAGTATTTGTGCGTAGAGGGAACAAAGAGAACGTAACCTTTTTAAAATGAAATTAAAAATTAGTTCGACGTTTTCTTTGTAAATTTGTTTCATTCCAGAAGCATTAATACATTCTTTGCAGGGCCCAATAATGAGCGTTTATGCTCGTTCTAAAGGCATCGCTTTGGTTGAACCAAGGTACATTGAACAGGTAGTATCAGTAGAGCAGCTAATTTGATTTATTTTCAAATTATTTGGTCTCGAAAATGTCAAATATTTTTAATTTTTTCTCACAAAAGTTCTGAATTGTTAAAATCCATTTGCATGTGAAACCTTTTTCCAAGGCGTATTTAACAAGGTGGTGTTGGCCGTATATAAGTAAAAAATTACACTAACAAATTATACGCTGATGTCCATACTGTCATTGGTATGAATTACAACAAACACATCATTTTGACGTAATGGCCTCCACGGCGAAAAACTCAGCTGTCGCCCCAACACCACCTTGTTTAATACACCTTGCCTTTTTCCATACAAAACAAGCGATTGAATAGCAGCTTTTGGAACGTTCGCCCAACTCAGCAGCACGACCGCTGATTACTGGGCCTTGCAAAGGATGGATCAATGCTTCGAGAAGCAAACAAATTTACTAGGAAAGAAAGTTGCATCAATTTTTATTTTTTCCAATTTCAATTTTTTATTTTTTGTATAATTTTTTGTATTTCACATGGCACGCTTTGATTTAGAAGAAAAAATTCAGAACAGTTTTTGACACTTTCGATACCAGAAGCAACAACAAAATACACGCAAATGTTGTTTTTGCTCTACTGATACTACCTGTTTAATGTGCCTTGGTTTGAACATTCACATGCAAGTACATTTTGCCAATTAAAATATTTTTCCAAAAAAATTAACAATATCTGACAGTTTAGAGACCAAATAATTAGAAAACACTCAAATCGGCTGCCCTGCTGCTCCATCCTGTTTAATGTGCCTTGTTCGTTACTATTTTATTTTATATTTTTTCTTTAGGTTTACTTGTTTTTTTTTTTTAATTTAACTTAATTTTATCATGTTTTATTTTATTTATTTTTTTTTTATTTATAATAAGAATGGTTATTATTGATGTATATATATTTGCTAGCTACACAAAACTTTTTGGCTTTGATGAAAATTTTAAAACAATTAAAAAAATAAAGTATCCTTAAGCGAAAAAATTAAATTCTATACATAAGCGGTTTTACAGAATGTGTATTATATATTTAACTAGATATACCTTTTCCTAAATCCAAATAAAATGATACATTGATATCAATTAAAAATAAAAAAAAGTATTCTTTTAATAAAAAAATGTGAAGTTTCGAGCGTTTTCTTTAAACTCAAAGGTAGGATATACGGGTATTGGTGTCCTCCAAATATCGCACAACTTCAACTCTGGACAAGTACTGGCAGTCCAGTTTAATTCCAGGCCGATTCTTTCTACAAATGTGCTACATCCCACCCAATTTGCGGACGGTACAAATAACTTCCTACTCACCGATACAACTCATAGCTGAACTGCTCCTTGAACGCCTGTCCCATCGGATTGAATTTATCTGCACGTGGCGCTTGCACGGTGCAATTGTACAGAAACGCATATTGACGCGCAATCGCTTTACATTGACGCAAAGCCGCCGGTAATGCATTCGAGCCGCGTAACATTTCCATTTCTTTACCATTAAAGTATAGGACTGTGTTATACTTCTCCGGCAGCAAATCGATGTAGGGTTTCCAAAAACTATCAGGCTTTAATGCTTCAAGCATTAACACATACGACAGCTTCAAATTGGACATCGAACCAAATTGTGCTGGACTATTTTCCAAGTCCAAATTCTCTTCGGAGAGTATCAGCTTGCGTGGTATAGAGAAAAGCAACTCATCGTCGGCTATGTCACGCGTTGCTTCCAAGCCCAATTCGTAGCCTTGAAATTGTGTTATGCGCACACCTTCGTAACGCAGGCCATTTTTTGCTGCCCAGCGATAGAAGTTTTCGATGTTGGCCACCCGCGCCTCTACACTTGGATTGGAAGTGGGGCGACGCAACGGTGCTTCGAGTATTTGCGCACGGTGCAACAGCGCTTGTATCTCCAAATACTGATCCCATTCTTCTTTAGGGTTTGCGGGCTGTCGGAAACCGATTTCGAGCAGTGCACTGATTAGGGAACTAAGCTCATTGCGTTTCTGCAGCGTCAGTGTGGGCCGCTTGAAGGTTGTTTGTTGTTGCTGTTGCACTTGTTTAGATGATGACTGGGTTGGTGCGTGGGCAGCGTCATCGGCTGGTTGCTGATTCTTATTGCTGCTACCCGATTTATTTTTTTTCCTATTATTTTTTCCCATTGCAACACACTTGACTTTCGCGCACCTCACTTCTCAACTTCTTTTTTTAGCACAGAAGTTATAACTCGTTTTGTTTGTTATTAAACACGATTTTATAATGAAAACAAACAACTGCACCCCAAAATGCGATTGAAAACCCGAAAAGGCAATGCACGTGCGGTCAACTTATCGCAGAAATCGAGATGACAATAGAGATTTCGGAAAAACATCGATGAATCTAATATATCGATGTTTAGCTCGATGCATCGAAAATTTTCAACTCAATGTATAAATAGTGCATATATCTATTTTTATGTAAACTGCCATCTCAATTGTGCAAAAACATGAAGTGAGGTTTCGTTAAAGACACAATTATCTAAGTTAAAGTAATTCATTACAAATTTAGTACAATTTTACTAATAACATGTTTTTTGTGAAAAACTAGGGTTTTCATGGTGGAATTATACCATTATTATTATTATTATCCTTGAATACTTGACAGATTTACCAAAAAATTCGTTTCTCTGGATTGTTAAATAAACGCTCAAGATGACCATATTACAGTTAAATTAACTTTATTGTACAACAAATACTTTACAATACTTGTTTATGCAATAACAACAATTAACAATACTTGCGCTATGAGCTTTTTCCCCACCTCAGATGTCCGAAACTGCCAGTTTTGTGTTTCTTTTGCTAGTTCTCGGGCCGTTGAAAGCCACTTTCAGGGAATAATTTTGGCTTCTCAGGAGACGACAGCAAAATTTTCAAGCATGTGAAGACGGCCGGTAAAGAATCCCTCAATACTGCAAAATCCATCAAAAAGTCAAATTCTGCCATTCACAGTAGAGTTTTCTAGTGGGACCTTTTGGTGATGTCAGTGGCAAAAATACATCGATGTTTTTCTTTGATTCGATGCATCGAAATGTACATCGATATTTTTCGATGCATAGAAGGGCATACATCGATGCATCGATTTGCATAGGATTTTTCTGATAATGTCAAAGTCATTTCTCTTTTTTGTACAACTGAAAATCTGGAATGACGGTTGAATGCATGATTTAATTATTAAAGGTTTTGTAAGTAGCTTTTTTCTAAAATTTGGCACTCCCACCCACAGGGATGGTTTATGGAAGCAGGGGAAAAAGGGGAAGAATTCAATCACACTTCCTAAAATGGGAGCTAAATTCCATAAAAAGGTGTGGATAATAGTGAATGGTGGTATTTTAAAACAAAAACGAATTTGATTTAATATTTAATTTAAACAAGCTTATTTACATCGAATATAACCCCCGATTGTTATTGAAAATAAATATTTCTATGTATGTATATACCAAACTTGCGTACGTCAGATGGCGCATAACTCGAGAACGGATGGTCCACTTTCAGCTTTTTTTTTTTTGTTGTATTGGTTTGACAGATGATGGATATGAAGAAGCTATTTGTTTGTGGAAAATGTGCAGTATTTATTAAACAAAAAAAAAACGGCAAATAAAAAAATTTGGAGCTTACGTTTCCTTCGCGGATATGGCTCGATTGTTTCGAATATGGTAATTCGAATTCTTTGATGTCGCACTTTTAATATTCTGGGGAGACTATACAACTGTCAGAATATTAACCATTCGCCGGGTTGCCCGAAAATTTGAATGATTAAAAATATCAAAATATAAAAAAATATAAAAATATTCGCCATAAAAAGGCGTTTGCATTGTTCAACTTTGCATTCTACTTTCAACTAATCGCTTTCAACAAAGTTGGTCGCCAGCCAAGATTCGCCTCGTGCGTAAACCTTTTAAGTGTGCAATTACATACATCGCGCCATTGACTAAACCGAGCTGTCGTGTGACGATTGGGCCTATGGATGCGGTTTGGCAATATTATATTGCGTCAAAGCCTCATTCGGAGACACCAGGAGTGTGTTATGGAGGACAATACCTAAATACCTTCGTTGGCTCATTTACCAAAACCATTGCATGCTTTACTTTACAGCGACTTGGCAGAATCAAGAGGTCTCCACGAATATCGACAAATATATTTCGGCATTTAAGAGAATTTCGTCTCTTTAGCCTACATTGAATTTCTGTAGTCCAACGATGCTCACCCATTTTGTCTTGTTGGCGCCAGCGAATGAAGAACAAACATTTCTTCAAATTTAAAAAGTAAAAATTTCACTACTAACAATTTAAAAATGTTCTTAAAACTTGCAAAGATATTTGGAAAAGAAATATCACTGTTTTTGTTTTTAGGAGTATGGTGGGAGTGTCATTGATAAAATTAGAGCGAGAGAAAGTTTTTCTTACAAAACCTTTCATTATTGAATCATGGGTTGAATGTACCAGAGGCGCCAGGTTTCAAAAAATATCGAGACATCGACAATTTATACATCGAGTGGAAAATTTTTGACGCTTCCAAACAAAACATCGATACATCGATATTTTTCCTACATTCCTAAAAGCTTCTAATTGGACGCAGCAGCTGCAATTGTTTACATTTCTGCTCGCGCAAAATACATCTTCTCCTAATTCAATTTTAAAAAATGCAAAAAAATGCGTTTGCGTGGCCGCATTGCGTATAAGTTTTTAACTTTAATCGTAGCCGTTGTAATTGTGGTAATAATTTGTATAGATTACTTTGCCCCGGGTGAGAAAAGAGATGAATTCCTAACACATCTACCCCCACTGGGAAAGGACCTTTCACAAGAACAGGAAACTCCAAAAAATGAAGTGTCTGGCTTAGATTTAAGTCAGCTAGTGAATTTCACGAGCTTTAAGTATGAAACTCCCAATAATGTGTGTCGCAAGTACGATAAGGAACTGCTGGGTAAGTTCTTTGCAGTCGCAGGAAAGCTCGATTTTTTTTTATTGTACATATATGCAGCATAAACCAGCGGTATTTCTCATTTTTCTTAGCTATTATAATCGTCACATCGTATGCAGGTCATGACGAGTTGCGCGCTGCCCATCGCCAGGCTATACCACAAAGTAAGCTGGCTGAAATGGGTATGCAGCGCGTCTTCTTGCTGGCGGCACTTCCGCCCACCGAAAAGTTTATCACACAAAAGCAGCTATTCGACGAGCAAGAACGTTTTGGTGACCTTCTGCAGGGTAACTTTCAGGAAGCTTATCGCAATTTGAGCTACAAGCATGTAATGGGACTACGCTGGGCCGCCACCGAATGTAGCCGTGCTAAATTCATCATTAAAATTGATGATGACATTATTTATGATGTCTTCCACTTTCGACGCTACTTGGAGTCGCTTGAGGTACAACAACCGAATCTAATTGCTTCGCCTATATATCTAGCCGGTTATGTGCTCAGTGACAGGCCGCCTGTACGTAATACCGTGAACAAATGGTACGTTTCGAAGCAAGATTGGCCAAAAGACACTTATCCAGCCTACCTTTCTGGCTGGCTATATATAACGAATCCAGTGACAGCTTTGCGGCTAGTACAAGAGGCACAAAAAAATCCTTTTTTCTGGATTGATGATACATGGGTGACAGGAATTCTTCGTGAGAAATTAAATATACCGGTGCAACCCTTGAATGCTTGGTACTCGGCAAATGCGGAGTTTATTGACTGCTGTGTACGCGATTTGAAACAGCAGAGCAGCTACGAGTGTGAATATTTTGTGGGACCCAATGGCGGGGATACCAAAATGCTGGTCGAGTTTTTACATAATGTAGAGAAGTGCTACTTTGATGAGTGCAGCAAACGACCACAGGAAAAGTCACTAAAGAAGACTTGTATTGGAACTGCAAAGCACTTACTGCCTGACCATGGTAGTGTGCAAGTGAAGCAAGTGCCTCTAAGATGATAAAGAAAGCAGCCAGCTGAAAATTTTATAACCCTCATCACATGCATTAAATGCCCGATGTCTCAACAAGGGTTAACTTCCGTCCCTTCGTCCCTTTTTATCAAGGCATATACTCAATTATAGTTTAGAAAATAGTTTAGAATTATCTTGTGTTTACAGAGAACGTCGTATTATTTTCGATTAAGTACATACATAATTATTTTATTTCAAATTGAAACAGTGAATATTTTATTTTCATAATGTGATTTCATTCCTACATATCAAAATAAAAGGCAATATCGATTTATCACCATTTTATAATAATCTAAAATATATACCCAATTTTCTTTTTCCGTGTATTTTGCGATCAGCTGTTCTTTGACAGTTGCTAGGTTATGTCACTGCCGATTGCGTTTTTTTGGGTTCCCAGTGTTTTTCATAAGATTCCACAAAATTTTCTATACAGATTATAGTTAAGGACAGGAAAATTGTGCAAATGAGTTTTCCCACCAAAGAAGAGCGTGCGCATTGCTGGGCGTCGCGTGACGAATATTGGCGGTGCCTCGACGAATATGCACCCAAACACAGCTCGACAAGTGGTGAGAAGGTGCCGGATGCTTGTCAGAAACTGCGCAAAGTCTTCGAAGGATCGTGCCCACGGCAATGGGTAAAACACTTTGACCGCAAACGCACATATGAGCAATTTAAGGAACGCATGGAAAAGGGCTTTGATCCGCTTGAAGAGAAGCTCAAAGCAACGACACAAACCAGGTCTTAGTTCATAGTCGGATTTTGTTATTTTATTGTTTTTGCTAATGTTAAACTAAATAAAAGTTGTGACTTAAACTACTTACAAAAATTGTATAGTTTTTCTTGTATGCCAGTTTTAACTTATCACACTATAGCACATCCGGCGCTGAAGCAGCATTTGGTTTATCTGATAGTGCTGCCGCTCTGGGCATATCCACCGCGATTGAAACAATATGCTTCCCCGGTATCATTACATTACCAAGTATGCGTGCATCTTTACCCTCTTCTAAGTATTCTGCGCACATGGATAGAACCACATTAGCATCTTTGTCGGTGCAATTGAAGAAGCCAACAAGTACGCGTCCATCGGTTATCACAACTCTGAATGTATGACCAAGCCAATTTTGTAAATTGCAACGCCCAGGCGTGAGTTCTTTATCGCCACCCACTACAGGAGCGTTGGTAGTTATGTTGTTGACGCGGTTGGTGGCTGGATTGCAATTCAATGTAATAGGTAGCAGTAGCGGTGGTTGCTGTGGATAGCATACCGGTTTTATTCAAGTAGTACAAGCAAAATTCGAATACTTACCTCACTTTTGGGGACGTTATCATAAGAACTATGATCGCTCATGTTTATCGCTTTTATGTTTAATTAATAATTTTTATTTTCTAAAATATCTGCCAATTTACTCTCTAATTGCACAGCTGATTTCTAAACATTCAATTCTTTCGTTCAGGCAGTCAATTGCCAAAGGGTGGAAAGAGGAAACGAAAAGCAGTGTTGTATTCGAAGTTAAAAATTTAAAATTTTTTTCACGCATTACAAAATTAAATTACCTAATGCCTTTTAGAACAAACGAAATTATATTTTAGCTCTCCCCGGAGAAAACCTTTACCGTTTTGCCTTTTTTACGTTAATCACGGCATTTTTTTATGTTGTTAGCTGACGATGACACTGCTGCCGTTCTCTGCTTTCGAGGCCAATGACAACAAGTGGGCAGCGGGCAGCGCGGCTTCGCTTATCTTTGAAAGCTCTGCAACTGTTCTGCTCTGCTTTCGCATTTTCAACAATTGTTGTTGATGTCGTGTTCTGTGTTTATTTTTATTTATTTTTCTTTTACATAGATTAAATTATTTATAAGTTGCTCTGCTGCTATTTGTTAAAGCATTAAACCCGCAATCATCGTAGCGTGAAGATGGCGGATGCAATTGTTTTCGCAGTTTTAACAAGTGAGTTTTTTGTGTTTTACGGCTACAAGTTCTTCCAATAAAACTTCTTTGGTATATCTCCTTGTAGTAAGCGACACTTGCAGCCAGGACTCCAGTAAAGATCGTAGTGGGCCTCGTCTGGTATCGCTCATACGCGATGCATTCCAAAATGCTAACATCCTTACAGATATAATAGCGGACGAACGCGAACACATTAGCGCGAAGCTACGTGAACTTGTAGCCCAGAAAACGCCAAGTGTTGGTGCAATTATTACTACCGGTGGAACTGGCTTTGCACCTCGTGATGTCACACCAGAAGCCACAAAAGTAGTATTGGACAAAGAATGCCCGCAGCTGTCACAATACATTGCGCAAGCGTCACTCCAAAAGACCAAATTCGCTGCTTTATCACGCGGTGTATGCGGCATAGCAAACAGCACACTAATACTCAATTTCCCCGGCAGCGAAAAGGCAGTGACCGAATGCTTTGAAGTAGTTCGCGAGCTGCTGCCCCATGCGCTACAGTTGATAGGCAATGAATTGCCGTTGGTGCGGCGCGTACATGCCGAGTTGCAAGCGGCTGGTGATGGTGGAGCATCCACCCGACATGTATGCCCACACAAGACAGGCAAGGGCGACGATAACGACAGAAATTCACCATACCCCATGATTTCGGTTATGCAGGCTCTCGAGATAATACTTGAAACGGTGCAACAAAGGCGCGATATAGCGCAGCTGCTGAATGAATTTGTGGCGCCGGTAGATATACCACCCTTTCGCGCATCCATCAAGGATGGTTATGCAATGAAATCGACAGGCTTTTCAGGCACAAAGAAAGTACTGGGCTACATATCGGCGGGTGATGAGGTGAGATAGTTGCTTTCAATGTAGATAGCATGAGTAATTTAAAGCATATAAAATGCAGGAAATCGTGCACGATTTTCAAGAGGATGAATGCTACAAGATCAACACCGGCGCACCATTGCCACACTATGCCGATTGTGTGGTGCAAGTGGAGGACACCAAGCTGCTGAAGAAGAAGAAAACGGGCGAGGAGGACTTGGTCGAGATTTTAGTCGAGCCCAAAGCCAATGTGGACATACGGTAAGCTGGTCAAAAGTACTCAAAAAATCACATTTTTAATATGTCCTTATTTCAAACCGCTTCCTACAGGCCTATTGGCTCCGACCTTCGCAAAGGCAGCAAACTCTTTCCATCTGCCGATCACTCAGCCGTGGTCATTAAATCCATACTGGCATCGGTGGGAAAAAATTTGGGTGCTGTACGCAAACCGAAAATTGGCATAATCTCAACAGGCAGCGAGCTGCTAGCGCCACAACAACCTGAAGTAATTGGCAAGATTTACGACTCAAACACAACTATGCTGGAGGAGCTGCTAGTATATTTCGGTTTCGAATGCGCTCAAAAACTGGTGCTAAGCGATGAGTATGCGCTTCGTAAAGTAAACTTAAAGCGTGTAGCAACTAATTTTCAAATTTTCTGCTTTCAGCTTCGAGATCGTCAAAAGTAAAATATCAGACTTATTCAAGCATGTTGATTTTGTTATCTGCAGCGGTGGTGTTTCAATGGGCGATAAGGACTACATAAAGCCAGCGCTGGAGAGTTTGGGTTTCTCGATCAATTTCGGGCGCGTAAACATGAAACCGGGGTAAGCGGCTATGAAGCGTGGCCTCTTTGCAGCTTACTAATTTGATTCCAAATTTAGAAAACCTATGACTTTTGCCTCCATGCAAGAGCGCTACTTCTTTGGGCTGCCAGGCAATCCAGTTTCCGCATTCGTCACATTTCACTTGTTTGTTTTGCCGGCAATACGTTGGTTTGCTGGCTGGGAGCGTGACAAATGCGAATTGACGTCTTTGCCGATAACCGTAAGTGGCTACGTACTTGTAGGCTTAAAAATATATACATATATACCTATTTGAAAGGTAATTAATATCTCGCCAGTTGCTATCAGTCAACGAAACCATTGCGGGCTTCGATATATATCACAAAAACTAAATTAAAAACAGTGATCAAAAATAGTGCTATTTATTCTACGCAGCTAATGCGTTTACTAAATTTGTTCTTTGATTTTTCTTTCGCCCGCTCAGTTACAAAACGACAGCATTAGCCTTGATCCACGTCCGGAGTATGTGCGCGCTTCGGTTACAAGCAAAAATGGTCGCTTATACGCCTCGGTGAATGGCAGCCAGGTAAACTTTTTGATTATTTATAATTTAAAATCTTTTTTTATCAGCCACTTTTATTTGTAGATGAGTAGCCGTTTGCAGAGCATTGTTGGCGCAGATGTGCTAGTGCACCTGCCCGGACGCACGGTGGGTAAACCCAGCGCTGTAGCAGGTGATATATATCGCTCTTCTGTGCTGCGTTATGATTTCATTTCGAAATATGAATAGAATTTATGTAAAATGCTTATGCGTGGGTACTTTTCGCATGCATACTCGGGCAATGTTTCCTTAATAAAATTTCAAATGTTTTTAATGAATAATAAGGGTGCCTTGTAAAAGCTCATATATTTTTGTAAAGGTTAATAATTGTGGCAGCCAAATGTTTTTTATTTGTTGTAACAAACAAGAAAAAAACTTAAAAAACGCAGAGTAATGTATAATTATAAATTTCATTATTTACAAAAAATAAAAATAAAAAAAGTTGCACTTTTACATACATACATAGAAATATTAATAAAAATATAAAACGATAGTTTACATGGGAAGTGCTATGAGGGGGATCCAATCGCTTGACCGCAGCTCATTCCTTTTTAAGAAAGAATAAGCTGTTAACTGGCTTCTTTTACAACTTCCAAATATAATTAAAAATAACTCAGAGAATGGTTGTCTGTTAATTTTACAAAATTACCGCAGTTTCCATGTAAACTTTGCATTTTCTTAAACCGAAAAATTATTAAACATGTACATTTGTTCGAAACAAATTTTTGGAGTGTCCCCAAATTTTGTAATCCATATCTTCTCAGGCACACTGCAGCTCCTTGCCTGCATCCCATACTCGTTTCTCGTCCCTCATACGCGCTGCACGCCGCGCTTGACGCCCTCACTCAATCTAGTCATCCGCAATGATGAACGACATGGCAACATGAAATTCAATTTACTATACTGCACCAGTTGGTAGCGTTCCAGCGGCACCGCATCCCACAAAGCGCGCTCAATCACCTGCAAAGCACTTGCGCTGAGCACATTCGCCGAGTACTGTGTCGGTGCGCCCTCACTTTCAGCAGCGGCTATTGAATAAAAAATTAGGGGTAACATATTAGAATCATATGCAGTTATCAAATTAAAATCACAACTCACTGTGCGGCACTGGCGCTCTATACAGCGCCTCCGCAGTAATACCGCTCGTGTCGAGCGCCACCACTTTCACGCCCCACGGTTGCAGCTCCTTGCGCAGCTCCATCACACACTTCTCCACTGCCGCGCGCGTCGCGTTGAATGCCACCAAGCCCCCATCGCTGTCCTGTACTGACGTCCCAGCTTGGTGTGTGCCAGCGCCAGCGCCCAGGTAGATAAGTCGTCCCCTGGTCGGCCGCAAGAAGCTCACAAACGCCTTAGCCACCCGCAGCGAGCCCAATATATTCGTCCTTAGCATATGCTCCCACTGCTGGCCCTCCTGCACTTCGACACGTCCGCGAAAGAGGCTGCCGCTCGTATTGATCACCGCCGCAATGCCGCGCTCGCCCGCATTCATGTGCGCGCCCATAGCGTTGGTCGTTTCACGCAGCACATCCTCGCGTGTCACATCCAATTGCATGGGTATGACGGCGCCACGCACTGGCTCCTCGCTGTATTCGCGCATTTTCAGCCAACCGTTGAGCAGCTTGGCGGGCAGTGAGTCTTGGGCGTCGCGCATGCCCGCAAAAACGCGACAACCCTTGTTGGCGAGATGTGTGCATAGTTGAAGTCCAAGCGCGGTGTCGGCGCTGGTGATTAGCACAGTGCCCGGTTGCGCTTCGGCTACCTCGGCGACATCGTCGCGCACCTTGCAGATCAGGTAGATGAGCAGTGCGCCTGCGATGGAGAAGAGAGCCAACAGCTGGAAGGCCAAAACCAATGCGGTCATTGGTTCCATCATGTCATTGCTGTGGAGGAGAAAGAGAAGAGAAAAGAAGGAATTTATTTTTAACGGCAATTAAAAATAAGCATTTGAAAAAATAACAATAAAATCAATAAAAATTGCTGTATGTACAAAAAAATAATACTTGTTTTTTTAAGTGCTATAGTAGCGCGCTTCATTTAATAACCAAAACACGCTTTTGACGATCAACATTAAAAAAAAAAAAAAAAAAACTTGTGCAGCAGGCACTTGAAATTTTATAGCATGGCTCAAAAGGGCGCAGAAGGTCAATGGGCCATTTTCAGCAGTCTGAAGGCTTTGCCGCTTATTCAAGGTGGTTTGCTTCACGTTGACTAAATAAAAATGTTGCCGGGTTTTTAATTTCATGCCAGAAATATTTAATCAAGTGTAGTTGGTATTTGGTGCTAAAAATAAATGGGTAAAATCCTCAATAAAAAAATAGCATCAGTCTACTTTATTTATAAACCGGTTCTAGTTGAGAACTAGCGTTCTCTTTAAACGAAACCAGGACGCTGATTTCGATTTCGTATTTGTGTTGGGAGAGAGACTCACCCTCGACAACAAGTTTCAGCCCGGTTAACAAGTTGCATTACCTAATCCCCCTCAAAGCGATATAACCCCATGAAAGTGAACGAGATGGTGAGCAAATATCCCACTTTTATGAACACTCAGAGCGCATCTATGAGCGCTTCCCCAACACGATAGAGCGATTTCAATTCCCGGTCAAGTATGAAAGGGGTCTTTGAAGCCAGCATCGGAAAATAAATGGCGCCAAGACGGAACGATCGATAACGGTCTGAAGCTAATAGTTGGTTCCAGTACGCAAGGATTCGTCAGACTACATGTTTGGCCCGAGTTTGGGAAACTAGAAACCAAATCGAAAGGCACGTTTCCAGTGTTTTAGACGAGTACCAAATATTGACTCAGACAGTTATAATTTCGAAAAAGTACAGCACTTTGCTTATTTAGGCTTAGTGGTTAGAGATACGTACTGCCACTCTGCTGGACCTGGGTTCGATCCCTCGTTCGAGCAACATCTATGTTCGTAAATTAGAAAAAGTTTTTTCTAATCCTCGGCGGGCAATGGAAACCCTCCGAGTGTATTTCTGCCATGAAAAAACTTCTCATAAAATCCATTTGCAGTTCGGAGCGGCGTCAAACTGTAGATCCACCCATTTGAGTAACAACATTAAAACGCACGCCACAAATTGGAGGAGAAGCCCGGCCAAATAATTAGCAAAAGTGTAAACCTAAAAATATTATTATTATTATTATTGTTAACAGCAATAATAATGTCAGCCTTGAAATCCAACGGAGTATCATTCCGTAGCAATTTACTTGCAAGTCTTTTTGCTCCTATCCCATCCCATTCCCGGAAGCCTGAAAATAATTTAGGTCAATTCAATTACATTTCCATCTCCTCCTCCCCATCCTTATTCCACAATTTGCGATGGTTTTGAACAGGTTTGCAATGTAACCAAAAACTTGCTACTTCCGCCTCTGCATTTCCTGCATTTAGCTAGCGTTTGCTACTCTTTACCAGCCACACTGAATGAGTATCTATTAAAAATTTATGTTCCTACAATTAAGGCAAAACTCATTAAAATTCCAACCGGTAAGCGGCAGACGGACGCGGCCCAAACCAAGTGACCACCTTGCCGGGGAACAACAGACCCATTTAATGCAGCTAACAGACGTGTTTTACATACTCAATGCAGAAGCGAGTGGGCTAGGACGGCGGCCGGCTGCAACGTAAAATGTACTAGAATTATGCGATTAGATAAGCTGGATGGAGAGGAATAATAATTGCGAAGTATTCAAGTGTTTTTAATCACCACCACTACGGGCCAGCGAAGCACAAATAAAAAAAAAGATTTGCAATTAAATCTTTGTATTTGTTTTTGTTTGCCTTGCTTACATTGTAGGTACTTGCGGTATTGCAAGTGAAACGTTTGTTGTTGTAAAAGTGAGGCTCTTGAATTGCTGCAGCAGCACTACGCAAACCGCAGCACAGAGTGAAAGGCTTATCAAACAACCACTCGCACACACACACACACACTCGCCCTCTTTGGAAAGGTAAAAGGAAAAGGTGCGGGGCAATTAATTCAGCCGCTTTGTAGTTGCAATAAATCATAAAACACGTGAAAAAAGCTGGAGCGAAATGGAATAAAAGTTGAAGAAGCAATATTGCTTGTTATTTGATGCAAATTCGCTGGACCCTATGCGCTGCTGCCTTCTACAGCACCGCCTCTCTTCTCTGTCCACCTTCGCACGCTCACTGACCGTCCGCATGGAAAAAGCATGTCACACGTCGCTGGCCACAAGTGGAGCATTGCAGCGAATGATGCAGCTTTGGCATCAACCAACTCCAACTAACTGTAGCTGCATGCAATGGCTGGGTTGTAGGCGGTTTAAGACCTTCAAGTGGGTCGGGCCATAATATTTTATTTTTTGTTTTTTTTTGAAGTGAGGTGTTGTTGGTTTTTTGCTGTTTTTTTTTTTTCCTACGCACTTGTAATACTTTTTTAATTAAAGCGCACATTTTTTTTTTTTTGTTTTTTAACTAGTCGGATTGCCTACCCGCACTTTTTATAATTTTTGTAACACTCCGCTTTTACTAAAAAAAATGTATTTATTGCATAATCTTATTTAATAACAGAATAATATCTCTCTGTTGTGGGCATCAACCGAGGTCAAAAAAGTGCACCCTCAACTCCTTCTTCTTCTTATTTGACGCTGAGTCCAAAAAAAGCACGCCAGGCGCTCCTCTTCTGTGCCAACTGACGCCAATTGGAAATGCCAAGTAAATCTAAGGTCTTCTCCACCTGGTCTTTCCATCGCAGTAGGGGCCTCCCTATTCCTATGTTATCAGCAGCGGGTTCTGAGTTGCATACTTTCAGAGCTGGAGCGTCGAAAATATTACAGAGTGTGAGAGAACGAAACGGAGCTCAGTGGAACATATCACGGATGCCACGAAGTTACTTGGGGCGAAGGAGTATTTTACAAGAACGGTGGTATTTAAACATTTGCATCTGGCCAAGCGGTTATCAGGACCTCGGGCTTCCACGCGGTGAGCTCAAAGTCGGTAGGGGAATCGCTGATCTTTCGTGTTGGTCTGATAATTACCGAATGATGAATTGGCTAGAAAGAGTTTCCTCAAGTGGGTCTCAACGTCAAAGAAGTTTGAACTACTCTTGAACAAAGAGTGGATCACAGGCGTTGTAAATCTCACAAAACCGCAGCTGTCAATTTCTGAGTGGTGTTTTAAAAGGGCATATACCAATTGAATTCCACAGGGATCCTCACTGTCACAGCCGTTTGGATTTAAAGTGGGACCAAGTAAATATTTTCTCTGAAGCTCTTTGCTTTTGCGAGCCTTGAGGGGCTCTCCTGAACGGACATCAGCCCTCTGGGAGGCAGCTCAGTGTCTTTTTACTGAACTCAAGATGGTCGGCTCTACAGCACAGCTCTGGACGCTTGTTGGATTGAGACATAAGTACTGTTACAACAACGAAAACCCGAACTAAACCATGATATAATCCAAACAAGTCTGAGGATCGCTAAGCTTGGTCGCTCCCATGCTTTTGCGCGACTCAATGAATTTTTCTCTTTTGACGGTTTGGCCAAAAACAAAAGAAAAACTTCGCCAAATTATTTCTATGGTGACTACCTAGGAGGGAGGATTAAGAGGTCTCATTCCGGCTACGCCACCAGATTATACGGCACTAGTTGGAAGGCTGTAATATGAGCCAATCTCTTTACTAGGCCCTGTATCTACGTGTAAACTTAGTAAAACCTTAGTCACAGCCGTTCCAACAAGCCTATTACCATCAAGTAAGCGTTGGACTGATGCGACTGCCTCTTTTTAGAACATTCCTTGATATCTGCCACTAAAGTAAATTATCCCTATGAGGATACTTTTGTGGAGTACCAATCTTATTCAAGCAAGATCTTTGAAGACAAAAATGCAGGCTGCGGAAAAGACTCTTCGACGAGCTACACCTCTTGGATTCACTTGTTGTATTTTACAGACAAGTTCCTTCAGATAAGAGGCCGCAGAATCTTTCGTTTCGTGACTTCCTCCCCAACCTGCTGCGAGAGTTTCTTTTCCCATTAAAATTAGGTTCTTTGTGTCACCGTCATTAGATAACTTGGAAGATGGTTTGTCTTCAGTTATCAGGAGATTTTGAGCAGCAACAAAAAGCTGATTAGCGCTGCATGTTTAACGCATTGACTGGAAAGTCATCTGATGCAAGCGTTCTCTGGCACAAGAATAAAGTTCACATGGCACAGAGGGTAAACGGATTCTATTTAGTGAAGGAAGAGGTAGTTTAAATTTTGATTGGTTTCTTCTTCAGCTTTAGAAGCTATACATGTCTGTTAAATTAATATTTGTAGTGAAAATGGAAAGCTACATACAAATTAAAAATGATTTATAAATTAAATACAAACTAATTTTTATTTCCAGTTTAAACCAGAACACGCACGAAATAGCAAATTTATTAAAGAAAAAAATTATGTGTGTGCGGAATGGTTTATAATTTGTTTTCCAATTTGCTACACGCAAAGCCAATTGCTGCTACCGCACCGGCATTAAATGCCATAGAATGTGGAATAAACTATCACACGTCCAGATCGCCTTGCGTGCTGGAGTAGAAATAAAAATATTTAGTTAGAAAAAAGAAACAAAAGAATTAAAAAAAGCAAAAGTGAAAGGCTTAAAAAGCGGGCGTTAAGCTAAAAAAAAAATCAAATAAAAGCTTGTAAAAAGATACATATCTAATAAGCAGAATATTTGTGGTGCATGTGTGTGGATAAAGGTATGCAGCCACTAATAAAAATTTAAGAAAAATCCAATTAAGCCATTTTCGAAATCGCTTTTTATGACAGGTGAATTAAGTTTCAGACGTTTGTTTACTACATACCAACATACATACATATGTACATAGTTGATCGCATTGAACTTAACCCGCGCCAGCAGCTGCCAACAACTTGTTTAATGTT